CTTATACCATGTAATCCTACGAACTTTGAGGGCAAGGGAGACGGGGGCCAACTTCCAATACTTCAGGACGTCCGTGTTGCTCATCTGTTTGATTTGGCCACTGGGGTCAGTCCAGGAAGCCGCTCCCTTCATCATACACCTAAGTTTACGTACGGCAGCTCCGTCGAGTTTGTCCTCCTCCCCCTTCGTCAGTACATTGGCTTCCAAACCACTCAGGCTAGCATTATAAACGACTCCCAAGAACAAAAGGCGCTTGAAATCTTTGGGGATCTTGGGGTCCCCCCAGGCTCCTGAGTAAGCACACCAACCGATCGCCATGCTTTGCAATCTTTTTTCCACGTCAGTCGTGTTCGTGCAGGCAGGCGTCGTCCATCCGCCGAGATGGCGGAGGGTATGCAGCAGGACACAAGGAAGCTGTCCGTGCTTGGCAAGGTCATGCACATGTTGGCGGGTGTCTAAGGACACGATGATCTCCTCTTTCTTTCGGTTCTGCTTGTAGCCTCCTCGCTGAAGCCACTCATCAAAAGCGTCACCCTCTGCATTTAAGTAGGCGATACACTCTGATGGTGTGCCAGGCGACAGCAGCATCATGCGAAACAAGTAGATTGGGATCTGGGAGCCCGTAAGTACCTACTTTCAACTACCAGAGTGTACTCAGGATGAGAAGCCGGTCCCCGAGAAAGGGCCCACGTCCTCGCCCTCGCTCGGACGTCCACTCCCCCTGCATTTGTTTCGATGTCGTGCGTCTACCTTTTCCTAGGATGCTCCACTCTGCTGCTCGATACAGTCAACCCGTATCATGAAGATGCACGGTAAGGATGCAAGGGCCTTGGAGGCTCATGTTGACGTTATTCGAACGAGGTTGGCCGGCGAAAGTCGCAAAGGATGGGCCGAAGGGCAAGGATGCAAGGGCAGCCATGGGACAGTTGCCCATCCTCACTGTGCCAGTTGACTGTAGCCCTCGCCGAGAAAAAAGGCGCACGTCCGAACGATGCCAAGCGCCATGGCAAACTCACGACGTCGGGGGTCTGGGGAGCGAGCCTGCTCTTGCCACACCGGCGGCCTTCGGAAGCCTCGGCTGCCCCCCCCCGGCAGCAGCCTCGGGGCAGCCTCTGCGGAGGCCTCTGGGGATCTCTGCGGGCCTCAAAGAAGTGGTCGGCGCTGCCTTCCGCGCCCCTCTCTGGCGGAGACTCCACGAACGGGCACCCAGTGGCCCGGCGAACCCAATCCTCCCCGACGTGGGCAACGATGCGCTGCCAGAAAGAGAGGCCCAAAAGTGGCAACCTTCGGCCCTTTTCCAGAAAAAAGTACCCGTGAGTGAGTACCCGCCACGGTGCCGCTGAGATTCCTGCTCGTGCTCGGGCCCTGGGCTGTGTTTTCCAGCAGCTGCGGCTCGTCGAGGACTCCCTGGCGTTCCCGGGGGCAGTTCTGTGGCCGAGAGACCGAGCAGAAAGATCAGACCAAAGCGTCGTAAACCATGTCGACGGGCGTTTCTTGGCCACTCTTCGAGCTTGGGGTTCACGGACCGGCTTGGCTGGAGCAGTGCCGTGGCTGTCCACGACGTTGCTCTTTCTCTGCTTGCTGCATTCAGCTCCTCCGCTGCAAATTCTCGGTGCTCGTGCCCCTTCCCCAGACCACCGATGCAGTGATCTGTTCACGACGTAGACCCGCAGAGGTCTGAACCCCGTCCTGGGCACCGGCTTTTCTCCCGAACTGTGCCTTGAAGGCCCCGGGGCCCGGATAGTGCCCCCAGATGCCGGAAACTGCCCCAAACCTCCCGTCGCGATTGCCTCACGACGCGAGGGTGTCCGTGCCCCGCGCCCCTTCCCGCCGTGCAACTGGTGAGGCATGCAGGCTGCGTGCAGACAGCCCAGCTAGTCCCAGCTGGCCTCAACGGGTCGCCCGAGCAGCCCAGGACACTCTCAACACCCTGGCGCCGTCTGCGACGGCGCGCATGGGACGCTCCGCGCCCTAGAGACAAGGAGGAGGAGGAGGAGGAGGAGGAGGAGAAAAGGAGGAGGAGGAGGAGGAGGAGGAGGAGGAGGAGGAGGAGGGGATAGGAGGAATGTTGAGTATGTAGTAGGAGCAAAGTAGGAAGTATGTATGAGGATGATGATAAGTGATATGATGAGGGAGCAAAGTATTATTCATGATTAGGAGTGAGTAGGGAGTAGAGAGAGGAAGGAGGTATGCTATGGAGGTATATATGTGAGTTGGGGTCTTGAGACCGCCCCAGACTACTCGGGGGGCCTGTTGAGGCCAGCCCGAACAGCCTGGGATGGGGAGGCTGTGTGTGGCGCAGCCCGGAGCCGCATCCAGACCCCCGACGTCATAATTTCTCATGACGAGGGCCCCCAAAGTTCTCGACCCATTCCCCAAAGACTTGTTCTTCATCCTGACTCGTTCTTGGACCTGTCCCGAGGCCCAATAATGGGCTTCTGGAAGCCGAGAGTACAGTATAGCGAACAGCCTCCCGTCGTGATCTGTTCGCGGAGACGGAGGAGGAGGAGGAGGAGGAGGAGGAGGAGAGGAGGAGGAGGAGGAGGAGGAGGAGGAGGCGGAGGAGGAGGGAGGTGGAGGACGGAGGAGGGAGGAGGAGGAGAGGAGAGGCTCAGTAGAGAGGAGGAGGAGGGAGGAGGCGCAGGAGGAGGAGCGAGGGAGGAGGAGGAGGGAGGAGAGGAGGAGGGAGGAGGAGGAGGAGGAGGGAGGAGTGGAGGAGGAGGAGGAGGAGGGAGGAGGAGAGGAGGAGGAGGAGGAGGAGGGAGGAGGAGGAGGGGAGGAGGAGGAGGAGGACGAGGAGGAGGAGGAGGAGGAGGAGGAGGAGGAGGTTGTGAGGAGGAGGAGGAGGAGGGAGGCGTGAGGAGGAGGAGGAGGAGGAGGAGGAGGAGGAGAGGAGGAGGGAGGAGGAGGGAGGAGGAACGACTCCAGCGGAACCTCGGGTGCCGCTGCCACCGCCGTCACAGTGCGTGCCCGCCCGCCGCTCGCTCTCGGGGGCCCACCGCGTGAGCCCCCTGCCTGGCATCGCTCGGGCGTCCCCTCCCCGTTGCACTGTTCGGCTTCGTGCGTGCACTTCTTCGCAGGACAACCCCCAAAAATGCCTCTCGAGGGCCCCCACCGAAGAAATGCACACGTCCGAGCCCCGTTGCACTTTTCAGCTTCGTGCGTGCACGTCTTCGCAGGACGACCCCCAAAAATGCCCCTCGAGGGCCCCCACCGAAGAAAATATCACACGTCCGAGCGATGCCAAGCACGGGAGGCTCGCTCCCCAGACACTCCTTCTCGCCCGCCCCCGTCCGCCACCTCCCTGCTCCCTTTCCCTCCCTCCCCTCCCCCTCCTCCCTCCCCCTCCTCCTCTTCCCCCTCTCCCTCCCCTACCTCCCCCCTCCCTCCCCCTTCTCCCTCCCCCTCCTCGCTCCCTCCCTCCTCCCTCCCCTCCTCCCCTCCTCCCTCCCCCTCCGCCTCTCCCTCTGCCTCTCCTCTCCCCCTCTTCCTCCCTCCTCCCGCGGGCCGCTTGGGTGGGGTTTCGTGAGCAGGGCGCCAACGCACGCACTCGACGCTCTGGCGCGCCTCTGTCGTCAAAAGGATCGCTAGGATGATGTTGACGATATAGCTGTTGTTCAAGAAACCCTCCTGCCTCCCCTCCCTCTCCCCCTCCCTCCCTCCCTCCCCAGACCCCCGAGGTCGTGTTTTTGTTCGCGACGTGGGCCCTCCAGCCGCTGCGCTGGCTGGCGCGGGACTGGGCGCAAGGCCTCGGCGACGGCCCCTCTGCGGCGGCGGCCGCCAGCGCGCTGGCTCGGCGGCGGGGCGCCGAGCTCAGCGTGGCGCTCCACCGGGCAACCGCCCGGCAACTCAGCACAGCCGTGGGCGCTGAGAGCCGGGCGGCGGGGGCGGCCCGGCTGGCCGCGGAGCTCGCCGGCTGAGCCGGTGAGCCGGCGCGCCAGCGGGCGACCGGCGCTGGGCTGGCCAGGTCGGCTACCGAGTGGTCCCGCTGGCCTACACCATCCTGAAGGTCTCCGAGGAGAGAGCGGGCGAGCGTACAGACTGTTTCGCCGCCTGCAGGAGGAGGGGGAGGGTGGAGGGTGGAGGAGGAGGACGAGGACGTGGAGGAGGAGGGTGGAGGAGGAGGAGGAGGATGACAAGGAGGAGGAGGAGGAGGAGGAGGATGAGGAAGGGGAGGAAAAAGGGAGGAGGAGGAGAATGAGGGGGAGGGGAAGAGGGGAGGAGGAGGAGGAGGAAGGAGGAGAGGAGGAGGCGGAGGAGGAGGGAGGAGGAGGAGGAGGAGGAGGGAGGAGGAGGAGGAGCAGCTGGCCTATGAGGGTGGAGGAGGAAGAGGAGGAGGAGGAGGAGGAGGAGGAGGAGGAGGAGGAGGAGGAGGAGGAGGAGGGGAGGAGGAGGAGCAGCGTGGCCTGAGGGTGGAGGAGGAAGAGGAGGAGGAGGAGGCGGATGAGGAGGAGGATAATCGAGTAGGAGAGTCGATGATCGAGGAGCGAGGGTCGCTCTCTGGCGACCTTTCCAGGGCGGTGGCTGCCCCCGAGGCGGCGGCCTTCGGCTATTCCCGCCGCCACTCATCCCAGGAAGAGGAGGAGGAGGAGGAGGAGGAGGAAGAGGAGGAGGAGGAGGAGGAGGAGGAGGAGGAGGAGGAGGACGAGGAGGAGGAGGACGAGGAGGAGGACGAGGAGGAGGAGATGATGGGGAGCGACTGAAGAATGTTGAAAATGGAGACGAACATGAAACTGGAAGGGATCGATGAAAGAGAAGATGAAGATGACGGGAAGATGACACGGAAGAGGAGCTGGGAGCCTCCCCTTTCCTGCTTCCTCCACCTCCTCGCCGTCGCCCTCGCCCTCGTCGCGATCGTCGTCGTCGTCGTCGTCGTCGTCGTCGTCGTCGTCGTCGTCGTCATTGTTGTCGTTATCCTCCTCATCCTTCTCCTTGCCGAGGGAGGTCTGCACTGAACATGGGCATTCCGCCGCGCCGGGGCAGCATCCCGAGGCCGGCGCCAATTCTCGGCCTTGATGCCCTCGCCCCAGGACTCCACGAAGTAGGTCGAGTCCGTCAGCACCCGCTTGGGAAAATCTGGGATCGGCGAAGCGTTGCAAAAAAAAACGAAGGATTGCAAAAAAAACCCTTCGTTGAACGAAGGATTGCAAAAAAAAAAACCTTCGTTTGAACGAAGGATTGCAAAAAAAAAACCTTCGTTGAACGAAGGGTTTTTTTGCAATCCTTCGTTTTTTTTGCAATCCTTCGTTCGAGCGAGTGCTGCGGCCTGGAACTGCTGCTGCGCGTGTCGACGCGGCGGCACCGGCGACGCGCTGCGCCCTGCGAGCGCACATGAAGGGGCCCCAGGACACACAAATATAAATACACACGAAGAAAATGATTCCCCATGTTTTCCCATATTTTCTGGGTTTCTGTCTTCCCCCCCACTTCCCATATTTTCCCATATTTCCTGGGGGATCGAGGATTCATTGTGTCTGTGTGTTTTTTTCTCTCCTGAGCATAGCGCGTCACCCCGCTCCGCGGGGCGGGAGGCCGGGAGAGGCTCGGGAGGTTGGCGCTTGGGGATTGGGGTGCAATTGGGGTGTCGCGCCGACGCGTGTTGGGCCAGAAGCCACGGCGCCGCACGCTAGGTAAGCGAAAGTTTCTGACCGTAGCAAGCACACAGCAGAAGGTCATGGCAATGCCTGGCCGGTGGTGAGGAGGGCGGTGATGAAACTGATGGGAAGGGATGGTCGAGGTGGACATCATCATGCCCTTGTTCGACTCGCCGCGCCAGCCCCATGCACGCCACGTATACGCTGCTCATACCCTCTCTCTGCCCGAGGCAGCTAGAGAATCCTTAACTCGGGTAGTAAACCGTCGCGCCAGCCTTGTCAGAGTAACTGGTGAACTCAATCCGTGTGTCTGGCGCGCGTGCAGCGGGCTGAACTTGGCATGTTTAGACGCGCGCGTGCGGCGGGCTGAACGGGCGAGTTCACAGATGTCAGTTCCACTCGCCTCCACCCACATGTACATTCTCCCCTCACTCCCTACCCCAAACCGCCCCCACGATTTTCTCCAACCGACTTCGCAGCTAGGTTCGAGCTGCTCACTGCGTCGCTTCCCTACTCCTCCTTCTGCCCCCCTCCCTGCTGCTTTGTTCTGATTTTCAGTCGTCACCAGAAGGGAAGCTCGCCCTGGGCCTGCCATCACGAGGTTTCCCCCCCCCCCCCCCCCCCCCCCCCCTCCCCCAGCACGAATACCCGCCTTGGGCCACTCTCACCTCCTACTTACCCGTTACGAAAGTTATTCATCTTGAGCACTGACGACTAGGGCGTCTCCGAGTGGCCCCCCCTTCCCCCCGTAGACTCCTAGCACGGCAGTCTTCGGCCTGGCTTGGCGGGAGAGATTTCTGGGGTTCTCCCTGGTAGCATTAATAGTATATAACCAATTCAGGATAAAATCTCTCCCCCGTAAATTCACAAGGGAGAAATCACTCCCGGTCACTTTCAGGCAACTCTGAATCTCTCCCTGTGTGAAACCACAAGGAAGAATCACTCCCATACCAATTCTCACCACAGCGCCCACACATGCCAATTTTAGCCAAGATGAGTTAACTTTCTTAACGGGGATGTATAGAGCCCGAATCCCCATGAGCACGGGTGCAAACTTGGCCCTGACCGTCTGGGGCGGAATCTCATCCCTGTAGCAGAGCCACAACGAAGTCCCAGTGAGCACTGACTGGGGAGGGCAGGGCCGCCTTCCTCCCAGACCACACCTGGACGAGACAGCCGCGCTCCCGAGGAGAAAGACGAAGATCGCCTCTGGAGGTGACGTCGTCCGCCGCCGAGGACCGCGAACTCACGGGCGCGGCACTCGCGGCAAGCTCCTGGTAGAGATGGGCCTGCCCGCACTGCCATCTGGGACAGGCCCCCCTGCCGGGTCAGTCGACGGCAACACTCGTGACGCGACAACGGGGAGGAGGAGGAGGAGGAGGAGGAGGAGGAGGAGGAGGAGGAGGAGGAGGGCGTCCTGAGATCTCCCTGGACAGGACCTCGAACGAGACCGTGGCCGTGCACTTCTCCCCCGACTCGGCCTCGCGGGTGCAGCGCTGCTTGAACAGGTCGACGGCCTGGAGGCGCGCGCACGAGGCCCGGGAGGGAGGATGCCGACCGCCTCCTGCCCGCGCGGGCCCACACCTCCGACGCGGTGATCTCTCTTCTTGGCGTGGGGGCTTCCAACCCTACACATCCGCCGATGTGATGCTGGGAGTGGCTCAAATTGGGGGGCGATGTCGTCGACCCGTATCAGAAGGATGCACGATAAGGATGCAAGGGGCCTTGGAAGGCCGTTTCGAAGCTTACTTCTGGGATGTGATGCTTCAGTACGATGGGAACACCATACAATCGGCCCGTATCATAAGGATCCGCGATAAGGATGCAAGGGCCTTGGACGCCCATTTCGAAGCTTTTCGAGCGGGGCGCGGCCAACGAAAGTGGCCAAGGATGAACCACGCAGGCAAGGATGCAGGGGTACCCCTGGGAAGGTTGGCCATCCTTACTATGCGGGTTAACTGTAAATGGGGGGGGGGGGGAAGGAAGATGCACTTGTCGGGCCTGAAGGCCCCCCTGGGCCCCTGGGCCCCTTTGGGGGACCCTGAAGGGCCCCCGTTCTTCAATCCTCGCTGCCCCCCCCCCCCCATTGATCGCCCCCCCCCCCCCCAGCACGCGACGCCCAACGGTGTTTCCAATCTGCGGCCCCCGAGGTCCCGACCGCTTCCATGGGGTAATGTTCCGCCCTGGATCCGTGTTTGAAGAGCCCGGGGGCCAGAAACCGGCCCCCCGACGGCTGAAATCACAGGAGAGCCGCCGAAGCACAAAAAAACCCTGTCGTCAGACATCTGGGACTGCTCTCGTTCCCGGCTGTGGCCCGTGGGGCTGGCTTTTCGCCCCGCCTCGCTTCTGGAACTGCCCAGGGGGCCCAGGAGCGATCTCCAGGGGCTAGAACGGCTCGTCCCACTGCGGGAAGCGGCCCCCTAGACAGACGAACGCCCCGTGGGCCAGACATGCAGGCGAGACCCTATCTTGTGAAGGACCGCCTTCCAGCCTTCTGGCTATGAAGGTGTGCTTGCGCTTGCGCTTGCACCGGCACGTGCGACACATTTTTTTCGCCAGCGTGTCGTCGAGTTGCGATAAGTGTAACAGGAGTGGGACGGTAAAACGTCGCTAGGGTAACCGGAAGCGGGTGGCCGTGTCCAACCCATCAAAAGCAATTCGAAGTCAACGTTTTTCTCGTCAACATGGACTTTCTTGTCGTCGACGCTGCGAAAAAGTATAACAGGAATTGGACGCGGCGCACATCGCGCGCGGACGCCTGGCCAACCCTACGCGGGACCCCCCGCCCTACCTGCCAACAAAACACCGCAACGTCGACGTTTTTCTTGCCAACATTTACTTTCTCCTCGTCGGCGCTGCGGCGGGGGCAGCGGCTGCGGCTTCTGCGGCGGTGGCGGCGGCGGGGGCGGCGGCGGCGGCGGGGGCGGCGGCGGCGGCGGCGGCGGAGGCGGCAACGGCGGCGGCGGCGGCAGCGGTGGCGGCAGCGACTGCGGGCGGCAGCGGCTGCGGCGGCGACGATTCGGCAGCGGCGGCGGCGGCGGCGGCTGCGGCTGCGGCGGGGGGTGGCGCGGTGGCGGCGGCGGCGGCGGACAGCGGCGGCGGCGGCGGCGGCGGCGGCGCGGCAGCGGCAGCGGCGGCGGCGGGCGGCGGCGGCGGCGGCGGATGCGCCCCCAGTAGCTGCCCATTCAAAGACGACTGCTGCGTATGCTGCGGCTCGTGCCAGGCTCGGGTGACACGTATGTGCTGGGAGGGCGGGTGGGATTGAACGAGACGGCTTGCGGTCGGGGAGGGAGACTCTTGATCCTTGTTCCTTATAAGAATATACCCCCACCTACGTCGCATTCCGGCCGATAGCGACCCAATCCGGGACCTCCCATCCGGACTGTTAAAAATCAATACAAAATTGCCGTTTTTCTTTTCAACATCGTCTTCTTTGTCGTCGACGATGCGAAAAACGTGGCACGAATGGGACGCGGCGCACATCGCGCGCGGCAGTCAATCTGGGCCCGCCCATCCTGACGGTAAGAAATCAATACGAAGTCTTCGTTTTTTCATCTCAACATGGCCTGCTTTGTCGCCGAACGTGCGAAATATGTGGCAGCAGTGGGGCGCGGCGCACATATGGGACGCGGCGCACATCGCGCGCGGCCGTCAATCCGGGCCCGCCCATCCTGACTGTAAAATATCAATACAGAGTCTCCGTTTTTTCCTCTCAGCACGGCCTGCCTTGTCGCCGACGGTGCGAAATATGTTGCAGGAGTGGGATGCGGCGCACATCGCGCGCGGACGTCCATGCGGGCTGCGGGCCCTCCCATCCTGACTGTAAAAAACAATGCAGAGTTGCCGTTTTTGCTTTCATCATGGCCTGTTTTGTCGTCGACGATGCGAAATGCGTGGCAGGGATGGGGCGCGGCGCACATCGCGCGCGGACTTCTGGGGCAACCCCAAGGCGGGAGGTGCCACCTTACTTGTCAGAAACAATGGCATGCTGATCTTCCCTGCCCACATAGCTAGCTGTTCTTGTCGTCCACCCCGCAAAAGTGCATGGCAAGCGCGCCCCCCCCCCGCTCGAAGTGAATGAAATGACCTTCCCGCTTGGGCGCCGAGCGAAATTTTCTCAAAGTTGCGCTCCCGCTTTGGCTCGGCGCACGTTTTCAGCTCGCCAATTCATTGGGCGCCGGGGCGTTCCAGGAGGCCCTGAGGTGACGAATGCCTGGGAGGTTTTTGCTCGTCCAGGCTCTTGGAGGGCCTCCTGAGGCTCACCGCGGTTTCTTGGCGGTCTGGAGGCCATCTTGGGCGTCTTGGAACGATCTTTCGGCGATTCAAGGCCCCTCGGATCGTCTCGGGGGCGTCTCGGCTCTCTTGGGGCGTTCCTGGGGCGCTCTGGGACCTGCGACACTGAAATGCTCGCGCAGCCACCGGTTGTGCCATCACTGTTTCTCTTATGTTGTGGAGAGCGGGTGGGAATGGGCATGCCATGCTTGACTCGCTCGAGCTGGCTAGCTTGGCCCCGCGCCCACCCCCACCCCCATCCGCACAACCCTGCCCCCACCCCGCCCCCGCCCCCACCTCGCACTCCCACCGCCACCCCCCACCCTCCCATCCTTACTTCCTATGATTAAACACCGCCACATCCCCACCTAGCTGGCCGATAGCAATCCCGCGGTCCAAAGTGCCAAACAAATCAATGCAAACTCAATTCAACATGTCGTCGAGCTGTGAAAAAATGTGACAAGCGTAAGACGGAATGAACATCGCTTGGGTAACCGGAAGCGGGTGGTCGCGTCCCGCCAATCAGAAACCAATACAAAATCAACGTTTTTCTTGTCAACATGGACTTTCTTGTCGTTGACGCTGCGAAACGTGTAGCAGGAATTGGACGCGGCGCACATCGCGCGCGGACGCCTGGCCATCGCGCAGAGACGCGTGCTCGTCAACATGGACTTTCTTGTCGTCGACGCTGCGGCCCGTCGGGTTGAGGAGCTGGGCGGGCGGCAAGTCAGAATGCCCCAGGCAAGTGCGGTTCAAGCAAGTGCCTCGGGAGACCCCCGCGAGGTCGAACAAATGCGTCCAGGAGGTTCTGGGGGGGCAACACAAATATTGATGTTCATGGTGTGTGAAGGATTGTGAGGTTAGCACCTGCTTGTGTTGACACTGTTCCAACCTGGAAGATTTTTCCTACATGCCCCCAGGCGTATACCAGGAAGCTCCCAGGACGCCCCGCGAATTCACAAGAGGCATTCTCCTCTTCCGCCTCAGTTTCTCCCTCCCTCCCTCTCTCCCTCCCCTCCTCCTCCTCCTCCTCCTCCTCCTCCTCCTCCTCCCCCTCCTCCATGCGCGGCAGGAGCTAAACGATTGGCGGTACAACGCGCGTGGCTGGAATGAGGCGCGGCGCACTTCGCGCGCTGGACATGTTGCCGCCGACGGTGCAACATGAGAGGCAGGAGCGGGGCGCGGCGTACATCGCGCGCGATCTTGTTTCTCGTCGGCGTTGCTCAGTACGCGGCAGGAATAGGACGCAACTCGTGTCGCGCGCTGAACGTCTAGCCGCCCGCGATATAAGATGAGCGACAAGCGTCGGGCTCGACGCGCTTGCTTCTCATGTTGTGTGAGGGCGGGTGGGGGAGGACGGAGCCCTCTGGCTCGTTCGAGCTAGCTAACTTGATCACTGTTCCATAACAGTAAACACCCCCTCCTCCAGGCGACTGGTAGCCAACCCAAAACCATGCTGCCCCCCCCCCACCATCCTTTGTACAAAACCATACAAACACACTGTGCCTCCACATTCGGAGCATGCGCAGCCAACCCGATGCGGCCTCCCCCCACCAGCCCCATCAACAAAACAATACATAATACACTTGGCGGCGGCGGCGGCTGCGGCGGTTGCGGCGGCGGCGGCGGCGGCTGCAGCGGCTGCGGCGGCGGCGGCTGCAGCGGCTGCGGCGGCGGCGGCGGCGGCGGTGGCGGCGGCTGCGGCGATTTGGCAGCGGGGGCGGCGGCGGCAGCGGCGACGGCGGCGGGCAGCGGCGGCGGAGGCGGCGGCGGCGGATTGGCCCCCCAATAGCTGCCCATCCAAAGACGACAGCTGAATCTGCTGAGGTTCGGGCCGGACTCGGGTGCTACGTGTGTGTTGGGAGGGCGGGTGGGGGTGAGCGAGGCGGCTTGCGGGCGGGGAGGGGGTCTTGACCCCATCCCCACCCCACCCCCAGCCCCACTCCCACCTCCACCCCCACACCCACTCCTCGTCCTCCTCCTCCTCCTCCTCCTCCTCTTCCTGGCCTCCCGCCACCCACTGGAGGGGACGGGCCCCGCCTGCTCCAGCAGCTTCTCCTCGTGCGAGTGCCACTTGGCCGCTATTCGCTCCTTCTCGGCCTCGCGGGCGTGTCCGCGCGCGCGGGAAGGGGCCTGCGTGGCGAGGTCGGTGGACAAGGAGGAGGAGGAGGAGGAGGAGGAGGAGGAGGAGGAGGAGGAGGAGGAGGAGGAGGAGGAGGAGGAGGAGGAGAAGGAGGACGTTGGGAATGGAGGGCCAGTTGCGGCCTTCGGGTCGGGTTGGGGCGGTCTGGTGGGTGGTGGCCTTCTGAGGCAGACAAGCGCGCTCCACTACTCGCAAAGTAGCTACTGCAGGTTCGTGCCGTGTCGACCCTGGCGTTGGTTCCTGACACCGCGCTGGGATCGTTCAACCTGGAACGATCGGCCGTCTCCGCGACGTCCGATCGTTCAACATCGACCGATTCTGGGCCGCCGTCGGCGTTCAACGTTGAACGTCGGCGGCGGGGTCGCCGCCGGTCGACACGACGCGAACCTACCGTACTCTTTGGAGTCCCGAAACGGTGCGGTGACGGACCGTGCGGTGACCTCGAAATCCCCCAAGACCTCACCGCACGGTCCGTCACCGCACGGTCTTGGGACCTCGGAGGCCCCAATCGCCCGAGACGTCCTCGGAGGACGACCCGAGTCCCAAAACCGTGCGGTGACCCCGAATCCCCACCGACTCACCGCACGGTGTGGTCACCGCACCGTTTGGGGGCCCCCGATACTCACAGATGGCCTGGATCCGCCGCCGGGGACCTACGATGCATTACATCGAGGCAAACATTTGTTTCTCGGACGTCTGCGCATGCACTTCGGACGCCTGCCGTGCTCCTGTGTGTTCGCGTGTGCGGGGCGAGAGGCCCCGGGGGTCTTGAGCCGGCGGCCTGAGCCGGAGAGGGCCTTGGGCCAAAACGGCTGCGCATCGCCAGCGGGCCTTCACGGGGTCCCTTGCCGCCGCTGCTGGATCCGCCGTGCGAGTCTGCCCGGGGCGCGCCCCGGAACAAGTCTGAGGACTGATGTTGGCCCCCTGGGCCCGGCATCGTCGCGCCGTGAAGAAATATGACGGCAGCGTCGCGCAAACGACTCTTCTTGACAACCTTCGGCCTCCAGGGGGCCTTTGCGGGGCCCCGGGGCCGTCAACCGAAACGGCTCTGGATGTTTTGGTGGACCCCAGAGAGGGTCCAATGAAAAGAGGGTGATGCAATCCATTTTTTGGGGGTTGCAACAGATTTGGGGCGTGCAAGACATTCCGGTGCGCAAATGTGTTGCTAGAATTCCGCGTGCAAAACGTTAGCTGCAACACACTGCAGTACAACTCTCCGGTGCAATACATTTGCGCTGCACTTGTCCCGCATCTATTGCACCACCCTCTTTCAGCTGAACCTCCTCTGGGGTCAACCAGAGATGCCAAGGGCTCCTAAGTTCGCGCTTCGCGCTGCGCGAAGCGCGAAGCGCGAATAACTTCGCGCTCTCGCGCCGCCCCCCAAGGGGGAGAAGAGGAGGACGAGGAGGAGGGGGAGGAGGAAGGAGGACCGCGAAGCGCGAAGCGCGAATAACTTCGCGCCCTCCTGGGAGCCCTTGACGTCATGATTTTTCCGTAACGTCGACCCTGGAGGTCTCGGCCAGATTCCCCAGGACGGGCGTTTCGTCCCGAATCGTTTGTTGATGATGCAGAGGCCCGGCGAGGGCCCCTTCCTGTCGCGTCTTTTCTGGTGTTTGCCATGACTCGCTCTCTGAATTCAAGCAGCTGGCTTTCTGAATCCGAAGAACTGGATTTTTGAATTCCGAGGAGACCGGCAGAACAGCCATGGACGGACCTCCTCCTCCTCTTCATCCTCCCCCTCCTCCTCCTTCTTCCTCCTCCTCCTCCTCCTCCTCCTCCTCCTCCTCCCTGAAGAGAACATCAGAAAGAGAATCTGGGGAGGCGACTGCCCTGCCCACGCTGTGGGGCCGCCGCCCCGCGCGCAGGGGCGCGCGGAGCCCCCGCGGAGCCGCTCCCCCCCCCGCCCGTCGGACCGACGCTGGCAGAGCTCCCCGCGCAGCTGGCCCGCCGGGGGGGAGCGGGCCTCGTGCTGGCGGCGCGCCGATTGGGGTACGGCAGGTTCGTGTCGTGCCGACTTCGGCGTTGGTTTCTGTCACCTCGGGGATCGTTCAACCTTGAACGATCGGCCGCTGCCGCAAGGTCCGATCGTTCAACATCGATCGATTCTGGGTCGCCGGCGGCGTTCAACCTTGAACGCCCGCGCTGGGGTCGCCGCTGGTCGGCACGACGCGAACCTACCGTAGGGGGAGGGGGGAAGGCTCCTCAGGAGGAGGCTGCCCTGCGAGGAGGCGCGGGCCTTGTCTGCAGATCTGAGGCTCGCGCCCTCTAAGAAGCAGCCTGCTTCTCAGGAGCCCTTCCTGCTCCCCCCCTACCCTCCTGTGCGCGCTGTAATTCGTGGCCCCTTGCCCAAGAAATCTCCCAGACTGCAGGCTGCGAAGCAGCCCCGACGTCGGACGTCCATTGAAGTCCTGGCCCTTTCCCCCGGGCCCTTTTTTGTTTTCTGCTTTTTCTTTATCTTTCTATCCCGAGTCGTTTTTTGACCGTCCTGGGGCCTGGCGAGGGCCCCCGGAGGCCGAAAGCAACACGCACACCCTTCCGCTGTGTTCCTTGTTCTCTTCTTGCGGCGCGAGGCTGTCCGGTGAGCTCGAGGCGCGGCCCTCTGCGCACGCCCCACGGGCGGCCCAGGCTCCCGAGGCGAGGCCCCCGCGGCGCCGTCGCGAGGCCGCGCCGAGCTGTGCCCCTGCACTGCGCTTCGTGCGGCCGCGGGTCGGAGCCCGCCGAGCCTCGCGACGGCGCGGCCTTCCGCACAGAGATGCGCATTAACAGGGCATATGTCGACCCCTATCCCAGGCTTCGTGGGGTTTCCGAATGGACCAAAAATTTGGGGCCCAACCCTGGGATATACGATGGGGGGGTGTCCATCCTCGATAGGGGTGCGTCCGAATAGCCCCCTTGGGGTGTATCCCAGGGTTTTCCCATTCTTCTGAGCGGCCAGACTTTTCGGGCGAAACTCGGGGATTGGGGGAGAAACATCGCCCGCGACGCATGAGTGCCGCCTCGGCCTCAGCGGATCAAGCGACGGGTGCACCACAACAACCCGTGACCACCGCAGCTGTCAACGAGGCTGTGGAAGGCCTCGGGGGTGGCGCAGTCGAGATCGCCATGGATATATCGGTCAGGACGTGCTTGCTGACTCCGAAAATGGGATCGATCAGCTGGTGCTGGCGGTTCGTACCTCACTGGCACGGTGGGGAGCTTTTGCGTCGAGTGTCGCCACGGCGGTCCTGGCGGCACGCTGCGCCCTGCAAGCGGACCGCGTGCCGCTCGGCCCCGCGGGGGCGGGAGGCGGGGAAAAAGGCTCCCGGGACGTGGAAGCCTGGGACTTTTTGGCAGTGGCTCGCGCGTCGCGCCGAAGCGTGGTGAGGAGGAGGAGGAGGAGGAGGAGGAGGAGGAGGAGGAGGAGGAGGAGGAGGAGGAGGAGGAGGAGGAGGAGGAGGAGGAGGAGGAGGAGGAGGAGGCATAATGACACGCTAAGCCCAAGTTCCGGGACTATCCAGCACGGGCTGTGAGACAGCACGCATTTTTTTTCAGCTCGACAGCGCAAAGAACACTGTGCACAGTCTTGACTCCAACGCGCCGACGAGGCCTCAGGTGAACGCAGCTCGCGGGAAAACGTCCACATGAGGGGGATGAGAAAGCGGACAGGGACGAGGAGAAGGGGATCAGGGCAATGGCGACCATTGAGACAGCACAAGTGCTGCAACAATGGGGTAAACAAGAGGACAACTGTAAAAGACTCGCGGCGCCATGGCGAGGTCGTCCTCATCTTCCTGCTCCGAAGCCTCCCGCTCCTCTGCGCCCTACTCCTCCTCCTTCTACTCTTCACCCTCCTCCTCCTTCCCTTCTCACCTTCCGCCTCCTCCTCCTCCTCCTCCTCCTCCGGACTGAGGGCGTCGTGTCGAGGGAGCCACGCAGCTGAGAGGTGAGACCCCCCTGGACGGCACACCGCCGCCCGGATAGATGGCCTTTTACCCTTCTCCTCCCCGTCCCCCTCGTCCTCCTGCTACTTTTGCCCACGACGATCGCAGATCGAGCGAGTGTCCAGGATCAGCCTCTATGTTTGATCCTGCTTGGCCTCAAGATCTGTCTGGAGGCCTCTGGGGATCTCCGAGGGCCTCTGGCATGGATACTTTGGTACATCTCTGGACGTCCTCGGAGGCTGCTGGGCACGCCCGTGTTGACGTCCAGGGGTCGGGATGTCGGGCGGCACTGAGGCTTGTCACCTTCTGATGCTCCTGAACCTCTACACTGTGAGGGCACTGGATAAGATAAGGAACCCCTGGATAAGGAAGCCACGGCTTGGAAGCTTGGGTAATTCCAATCGTGGACTGGCCATGGGTATCACCGCCACCCTCATCCGACAAGGAATGGTCCAGGGTCTTAAGGCTCATGGGCACAGTCCTTAACCAACGCCCCCACCGTATTCCCTTCTCCTTCTCTGACAACGTCGCGTCGCGACAGAAAAAAGACGTCGGAACATTAGCAATGTTCGGTCTCTGGGGTTTCTTGCTGGGCGCTGGGAGGTCAACCAAACCGACCCAGGAGGAAGAGCAAGCCTCCGCGATGGGGCCCAGACCTCTGGGGAGCCAGGTGCGGACAACATCAAGGCGTCGGATGTCTAGATCCTCCTCCTCCTCTGTCGGCACATCACCTCTTCTCGGGCACGAGGCCTTTTTGGGTGGTTGTGTCCGTCTTTCTATGCGGGCGGTGCTTGCACTGAGAGGGGCTTCCCCTTGTTCTCACGCAGGCGGCCCCTGTCCGTCCCCAGCTTCCTCGGCCCGCCCTGCCCCCTGTCCCGAGACTGCGGGCTGCCACATGCTTTCGTTGCGCTGTTTTCACTTGTCCTCTCATGCTGCTGCAGCTGTTCCCACTTGCTGCCGCTGGCCTCTGCTTGGTTCCACTTTTGGGTTCCTGGAGGCTTCAAACCACAATGTGTGATGCACTTCTTGTATGGGGCAAGACCGATCCCCTACATTGCTGGACCAGCTGCGTCAGACAGGCGACTACTTTTCATATGTATATCGATTCGCTGGCAGACTCTGTCAGCTCAATTAATCCTGACAGAGCTCCCCAATGGTAAAACGTCGTTCCCGTGCATTCGTCTGGCCAGACCTTTCCGTCAACTTCAGTGCCATTCTTGTGCGGCAAGTAGTTCTCGCACACATGCCCGTGGAGTCGCCACTGGTTCATAAACATTTCGCTCATCTGCTGGGCCAGTGCTTTGCGAGCTACCCTTACTGATGGGACATGGTCGAATTCCTTTAGAGACCAATGTACCAATTGTGCCATGGGCCCCCATACAAAGCCTCTCCAATATCCTAATGCTGCGAAGCTGTCATCATCAGCAGAAATCGATGGCAGGCCCCAGTAGCACTCGTTGCTTCTCCGCTGGACGCAGAACCTAGATGCGTTCGTGAGCCACCTGCGAACAATTTCCTCAGCCCGCGCGTCGTCGTGCATGCCTCGTGACCCCAAGAGCAGAGGGTAAAACGAGGTAGGGGAAACTCGTTCTGAGAGTGAGCCATTGGTGAGAACTAGATTGGCATAAACGCCTCGAGTTTCATCCCAAAGCTGTTCATGAACTGCTTGCCTGTACGCGTCACCACGTGCACGAAGCTCCTTTGCAGTAGCCTGCCGTCCTACCACAACAGCCAGCTCTGACAATGCGTAAGCCTCGCTTGCAGCCATGCTGCTCATCCCAACATCCAGCAACATCATTGTGCCACTGGACTTGTCCCAGAGATCGCAATTGTCCTGTTGATCCACACTTGCACAATCATACATGGGAGAGTTGTCAAGTCCAGACTCGAACCTTGCCAACTGCATACCACCTGGTTGACCCCGCCGCTCATCGAAACTCCGGAGCGTATACAGCCCATGATTCCGTGTACGTGCTCTGCTCGTCCAATCAACCCAATCGAGGACGTCATCGAATACGAGTTCAACCAACCAAGTGTCATTGTATCGGCGGAAAAGTTCAAGGAGCACCCTTGCACCCACAAGCGGCTCTGTCCGGTCTTGGTTTTTATAACCTCCTCCCGCACAATTTGCCAAGTATCCCTCAGCGGCCTTTGACTTGAAAGATTGTATGATGTTGGAATACGCAATGTTCTTTGATCCCACCGCAGCAGCTAGCAAGCTTGCGAAGAGGTTGTCCCAATCAAATATTGCGTAGCTCCAATCCTCGCCGTCTGCACGGAAGTCTGCCATTGGGGGCACAGTTGTCCACCCTCGTGATACTGGCAAAAGGACTGCGTTGTTCTCTGCAGGTGTAGATATAGCTGTCCATGAGACTGCGGCCTCGACCGCAGTTGCCAATTCAGCCAAACGCGGGTCTCCGCCAGAGAGAGAGAGCATCTGTGCTGCGTGGGATTCCTTGGCGGCTGCGATCATGGCGGCCACAGTGCTGGAGCTGACATCCTGTAGGTTCACCGCGACAGACAAAGGTTCAGGCCCAAGCTCTACGAACACGTCATTTTCGCTGCCAAGAGGGGAGCGAGGGACACTCGCATTGACGAAGGGCGCCAGAACAGCTACCCGTGAGGTGGGCAAGCCAGCAGGCGAGAACACAATCGAGGATGTGGCGGCGTCGGTAGACACAATACCACTTCGGTTCCACAAAAACCTGCTATTCATGCGGATCAGAATGTCTCTACTTTTTTTCCGGTGCGGTTCGATGAGCTCCATCGATACCGCAAGGGAATTATTGGAATAGGCCGCAAAAGAAACCGATATGTTGGCGTCGACAAATGATCGGTTATCGCCATGCCTTCCACCAAAGAAGAACTGCCCGTAGCTACCATTGATGGCATATGGACCAACACGTACATCACAACCACTTTCCTTCTTCCACAAGCCGTCGGCCACACAAAAATCAATGCAAGTCTTTGTCGAGATTTGACACACTGTTGGTGTGAATGCAATCCCAGCAGGAAGCGAAGTGAACGTGAGAACATTGTGATGCAGGAGTTTGCGCCAGCCTGCTGTGGAGGAAGCCTGGAGCTTGTCACGCTGCTGCTCCACTGCTGAAAGGTGCGGCCTGAGTGCGGCAGAAGGAATCGCCGCCATGCTCGAAGACGTGTTCAAACCCCAACGCACGGACAGCGACATTGGCTCCCGTGCCCGCGCGGCGTCCTTGTACATGTGGGCTCGGATCGCGAGCCCTCTTCCGCCGGCCGCAGTCCGCACGGGGAGGGGGTTGTCGGCGGCACCCGCAGACACGTTGTAGGTGTTGCCATCCTGACAAACGAGGTGGCCGTCAATCCACGCGAAGCCCACGGCGGTGTTGACAAACGCGCAATCAAATATCCAGCTGCCGTTGGATGGGAAATAGACTGTGCCGTAGACATAAGCAGAGACACCCTCCTCTGAAGCAGCGATGAAGGAGGTATCTGGTACGCTGGCCCTTGTCAATGGCGGGCCGAACAAGCCGCTGTTCGAAAAGGTGTCAATCGTGACCCCAGTATCTGTAAATGTTGACGAAGACGTGTCAATTAGTGGCACAGAGCGGGCGAACACAAGTAACATCCAAAACGAAAGGGATGCCACTGGGCAAATCATTGCTGGCACTGCAAGCGATGCGGAAATCTGTCCAAAACCACTGAACCGCACTTACAGACTCGAACCAACCTGGCTACGGCTTGAACTTGCTTCAACTTACTCCCACGTGCTTACATATGATACCGGAGAAGAACCCCAATCAGGGCTATAGGGCGAGGGGGCTATATGGCTATAGGGCTATTGAGGTATAGGGCTACAGAGCTATGGGGCTATAGAGTTGTAGGGCTATAGGGCTATAGGTCTATAGGGCTTAGGGCTATAGGGCTATAAGGCACCCCCGGGCACCCCTGGGCACGCCCAGGCACCCGGGCACCCCCGGGCACCCCCCGGGCCCCGGGGCCCCGGGCACCCGCGGGCACCCGGGCACCCGGGCGTGCAGCGAAAATCGGCGACTAACCTAACCTAACCATATGAATCCGCGAGGACCCCTACAGAGGCAAACTCTGCTTGGGGAACTTACGCAAGGCGTGGTATATTTCCGTTGAGATGTGGCCCGCGACACTCCGTGCCGCAACCCTCGCCCCGTAGAATCTGCCCACGGGCGGATCCAGGTGCCTTGGATGTGATTTTGTGTCAGTCCCAAAACAGCAAACTGCGGATTTGCAAGGTGTATGAATCAGATCCGGGTGAGAAACGAGACGGGAGTCAGATCCAGAACAATCGAAACGGTGGAAAGCAAATCCACCAACACCTCAATGAGAACCGACCCTGGATTTGCGCACCCACAATCATATCCATCGCAACTCCGTCCCTACATGTCGTGGTCGCACTTCAAGCTGTCCGATCTGGGTCCAATCGGAAAAACTTTCGTCGCGGGTGTGCGTGCTTATACCTGACCGGTTTTACTGCCACACTTCCATATGATTTCTGATTTCCTTTGCTTCGACCGTTTGGGGTAATCGCACCTAAACTCACGTCACATATTTCTCCGTCGCTCTCTCTCTCTCTCTCTCTCAAGCCCACCCCTCTCCCCCCCCTAACACGTGTGTCTGCCCATTGCATCATATGAAATGCTGAATTGAAAACAAACTCGATCGAACAACGCACACACATATATATATATATACAAATACGTGTATATATATATATATATGTATATCGTTCTGGTCGCGCATTCGCCACTGGTTAAGATCTCGCAGCTGTGCCAGACAGCTGTGTTGAGGCGTTCACGCTGCGGGACCCCCCGTTTCACGTACCCGCCTCGCGCTCCCAAAGGACAGAACGCCGAGGGGACGGTACGAACGGGGGGCCCGCCACCGAGGGAAACAACTCCCCTGGGTGGCCGCCGCGGCCTCTCTGAAACAACTTGCTCGGGTGGATGCGGGATGGCAGAGCAAGAAAGCTGCGAGAACAACATCGGCGAGACAGCGGGACCCCCGAGATACCCCAGTGACATGCTGTCATAAGTCTGATCTCGTTCTGGTCGCGCATTCGCCACTGGTTAAAATCTCGCAGCTGTGCCAGACAGCTGTGTTGAGGCGTTCACGCTGCGGGACCCCCCGTTTCACGTACCCGCCTCGCGCTCCCAAAGGACAGAACGCCGAGGGGACGGTACGAACGGGGGGCCCGCCACCGAGGGAAAAAAACTCCCCTGGGTGGCCGCCGCGGCCTCTCCATTCACACCTTTTCACTGGCTATAGCCGGAATTCAGTAACATTAGGACAAGCTGCTCTAATCTATCTCTCGAAAGTTGGCTCTTTGAGACATCAGCAAGGTCGGCGACGGCCTCCTCGATATATACTCGTGCAGAGGTTACGGCGCTCCACCTTCCTCGCTGCATTGTTCGCTCGAGGTTGGCGCCTAAGAGAAAGTCATGACAGGCACCTCCTCTCCTGAAGCTGTACCAGGACCAGCGCGCAGGAGGGATCGAAGCAACGGCGAGGAGCGATTTCAGAATCTTCTGAAGCTGTATGTAAGAATATGGGCAAACATGATCTGACGGCTGCGCGCTGGACGTCGCAGCTCGCAGCAGGTGCACAGCAACAGGCGTCCTGACCACTGCGAATTGCACCTTGCCAGACCTGACGCCCATCTTTGTCTCTGAGAGCCGCAAAATGACTCCACCTTCGGCGAACGTGATGTCCTCATAGGTGAGGTCTCGCAATTCTTTGTCTCGAAGCATTGCGTCAAACGTGACAAGGACCAAAGCTGCCAACACAGACTGGCCAGTGGCCAGCGCTGCGCCCGCAAGCCCGAGCGCCATCTCGGGGCTCGCAGGGTAGGCGCGGTTGATGGGTGCTAGCTTCTGCCACGTCTTGACCAGCGGCCACGCAAACGGCAGGGCGGTGCGCAGCTCGGGGGCGAAGAAGAGGCAGCCTGCGAGCGCGTAGCGGCCCTGGCTGAGTGTGCCTTCGTTCGCCCACTGGTCCTCCACGTAGGCGCCCAAAGCGTGGTCAGCCTCGGCAGAGCTAGTCAGCGGGAAGCCGCCCTCGATGGCGAAGGCGAGGAACTCTGCGACGGCGATGCGGTACCTCCTGAGCGTAACCGCGCTGACCCTGAGATCTGAGAGCCTCTGGGAGCCTCGCAGGCGCTGGAGTCTCTGGGCTTGCGGCGAGAGCCTCTTAGCTGCCAGACCTTTCGGTATGGCGCGTCGGCGGGGTTGTCTTCCGACGCGGTGTCGCCGAGCATGACGTAGCAGCCTGTCGCCCAGCATGCAGCTCCCCAGCGCTTGACGTGCATCCGCAAGACTCTGCTGCTGCTGTGGCCCTTCGTGAGCACCGAGGCGGCGACCTGGCTGTCGATGAGGTGCAACATACGCCTGGGGCGGCCCTGTCCCGACCGCAGGCGCCACTTGATAGTGTTCACTGCCGCCTGGATCTCTAGAGCGTTGATGTGCTTCCCGGTTCCAGCGCGCCACCTGTAGCTCGATATCACCTTCCACGTCCAGACGTTGGGCTCCAGCGAAACGCGAGGCCACGCTCGGTGCCTGAATGGGAGGTGAACATCCAGGCGCACGTCCGTGCCTCCCCGCTCGGCGATCGACAGGTAGTGCCTCACGAGCTGCTCCGCCTCGGGCTTGTGCTGGTAGTTGTCGCTCTGATGGTGCACCGCGTTGTCGTTCCAAGGCGTCCTGCACCTTCCGATGTGGCATGGGGCTTGGGTCTCCCACAACCGCGGCTGGTACTCGTCAGCGACCAGGGCATGCTGCAGCAGCCATGTCACGGCATAGACTGAGAAGCTGTTGCCGAGCAGGAAACAACGCGCGGTCTCAGAGCTCGAGCCAGACCCGTCTTTCACGGCACACTCAGTGTAGCCCCGATCAAACCCCAAGAGTACCTCTCTCTCCTCAGCTGTCGGGGGACGGAGCTCCATGGTGGCCTCATGCTGGAGAAGGCAGGCGTGCTCGTAGAGGCCGACGTGATAACGATGATCGTCCTTTTTTTCCAGCGCGCCTTCGCCTCAGGACTGGCCCGAGCATTCCCAGCAGGACAAGTGGGCTGCAGCAAAGAAGTCCTAGCGCACACGAGGGTCGGCACTGGCAGCACGCCACCATTCCAAATCCAACCAGGGGTGGCCCAGGGCAGCTCCACGCGCTTCGCGCCCTCGGCAGTGACCTCAATGAAATGCCCCTTGTTCTGGTAGAAATAGCCCTCGTGTGGCAGGAGCTGCCAGGGCAACCAGTACAGCCGCGGTCTCCTGTTGGGAACCAGGCAGCTGCTGCAGAAAAGGTAGGGCGTGACCTTGAGCTCGTAGGAGATGCGCTCGACGTCCTCGAGCGGCATGGAAGAGACATTCTCGACGAGGGGGCGCACCTTGCCAGCGGGCGCCTCGTTGGGCAAGTTGAGCATCCGAGGTGTCTCGCTGAAAAGGGCGCTCTTCTTGCCCTCCAGCCCTCTCCTGCCGAACATCAACCAGGACAGATCTTGGCCGGGGCTGCCCGCTCCACAGTGCACGAAGTCGACGGTGCCTCCAAAGAGCTGCACCAACCTGTCAATCTGCTCGACCCCCACGTCCTGGATGTTACCCCAGTCGATGAGGCCAGGCCACCTCTTCCTGACGACTCTGCGTGCACAAGGATCCACCTCCGACGAAACGTAGCCTATGATCTTGGTGCGCAGCCTGGAAAGCGCCACGATCATGCCCCCGATCCCGTCGAAGAGCCCAGTGACTAGGACAGCAGGCACCTTATCGCCAGCGGGCGGCGGCAGGCCGGGGTTCCTCGACCCCCAGGCCCGCCAGAGGGGCGCCTCGCCCAGCAGGAGCCGTCCTGCCATGAAGTGCTGCCGGCCCTCCTCCCCCGCAGCGGCGGCCGCCGTCAGCTTCGCGATGGCCTCGGGGCAGAGCTTCAGCGATGTGCAGGCACCTCCTCCGTCTTCGGACGCATCCGAGCAGGTGGCCCTAGCGTCCACCTCCGCACGCAGGTCTGTGAAGGCGGGTGGGAGGAGGCCGATGCTGCAGAGGATCTCCTCGGTCATCTCAGAGTTGACCCAGCCAGAGTGGGTGCCGTCCGCGAACTTCCAGACCTCGTTCAGGATGCAGAAGAGCACGCGCCTGAACTCCAGCGCCCTGGCCAGCCTTCCCAGAAGTACGAGCATGGTCTTCCAGAAGACCCAGTCCTTGGTCATCAGCAGGGCCCACTCGGCTGGCGAGTCCACCAAGAGCCTCGCCTTAGGCACCTCGGGGGGGCACTGGGCGCGTGGCAGCAAGGCTAGCGTCGGCTCGTCCAGCCAGGCGAGCACCTCAAGACTGACGTGCGCACGTGGGTCAAGCCGACCTGCAACGTCAGCAGCGGGCAAGCCAGGTCGAAGCTCTCCGAGACGAAGTGGCAGGGCACGCGTGCCGCTGTCGATGTCGTATGCACTGGAGGCCCTGGTCGAGACCTCGCTGAGGGGCAGCTGCACCGCGCCCAGGTTACCCTCGAGAAAGTACGAGACGGCCTCCCGCATGACTGCAGTGGCGCGGACCTGAGCGGACGAGTAGTGCGAGTGGTGGCCCTGCGCCTCCTCCCCGCACGTGCCCGCGTACTGGTAGTTCGTGAGCATCACCTGGACGAAAACCCA